CAGAGGCACAGAGAGGTTAAGTAGCTTGCTCAAGGTCATGCGGTTGCCGGGGAGCAGAGCCGGGGTTGTGGCACGAGTCGACTAGCTCTCTCTCTCTCTCTCTCTCTGAGCTTCTACGGCCCATGTTAGATTTGTTAGTTTTAAAAGGGTCCAAAGGAAGAAAAAGGACACACTCGAGCAGCAGAAGTGAGCACTCTTCCAGATAAATAAACAGGGACTTTCAGGAAATGGAAGTCAGCTGCCCCTGGCCGTCTCTGGAAGGATCCGGCAAGGAGACCCTCCGCTCTCTTGGGAAGGCAGAGCAATAGAAAGGCCCAGAGACCCCGGAGGGGGTGCACCGCTTCGCGCTGGGGTGGCGAGGGCCAGTGCAAGGCCTCAGCCCGCGGGGACCGGGTGGCCGCTTTCGGGACTAAATTTACAAGCCGGTCTGCTGCGGCCCCGGAAAGCTCGGCTGCGTCATCACACGCGGGGCCCAAGCGGCAGTGAGACCGCATTCCGGTCTCTTTTGCCCCCTGCCCCCCACCCCCAATCAGCTTTCGGTCCTGAGCACTGGCTGGGCCGCGTCACCAGGCCGCCCTCTCTCCTGCCCTGCCTCCCAGGACTCTCATCCTTTCTGGTTTTCAAAAATCCGGTGCAGAGACAACACATCGGACGACGTCCGTACTCGCCACGGTGCTCGAGGGCCTTTTCTCAGCGCTCGGGGTGTGTGAACTCACTGGTCCCTCAGACCCTCCCTGGGAGGCAGGCATCCCCATTTGACAGATGAGAAAACTGAGGCACAGAGAAGTGAGCTGAAGCAGGGTGTGGGCCGAGCTCCTGAGCGCCAGCGAAAAAGGGAGGGAAAGAGGGGCGCACAGGGACGGGGCGTGTGTCACAGACATCAGACCCCGGCAAGGCTCCAGCGTGGTGAGACTGTGTTCAGAGTGATGCCACTTCCTTTTTACAGGAGGAAACCCAGCCTCCGGGGCTGTGGATGCAGGTGTCGGCACCACCTGCTGTGTGGGGTCATCTGCCTGGGGCCCTCCGGCCACCTCCGGCTTCCTAGGCCCCTGCCGGGCGTCGACCCTGGGACCTGGGGTGCCAGCCACCGAGCACGGAGCCCAGCGCACAGTGTGGCTCAGAAACCCTAGGTCCCTTCCTGCCGGCCCCACCCAGGCCACCACCTCTGCTCTGGGGACCGTATCGCCCCTCATGGCTCAGCCCGAACGCCACCTTCTCTGCTCCCCGCTGCCTCTAGCTGCCTGCTGCCTTGTCGTCATCCGTCCTCGGTGTCCAGATCCCAGCTCCCCAGCCCTGAGGTCACTCCCACCACACATCGCGTCCCACCCAGGCTGTGAGCGTCTGCAGGATGGAAACCCAGACGGTCCCTCATTGGGTCAGGAAGGAAACACCTGCTTACAAACTCTCACGTCCCCACTCAGGAGCTCCCCGGTGAGGGCGAGGGCCCCCTCTGTCTAGCTCACCACCTCCAACCACGCCGGGCACACGGTAGGGGCTGGAAGGTAGATGCTGAATTGGAAGAACATGGCAGGGCTGCGGGCAGCCAGGACCCCCAAGCCTTGCAAGTGGGACCTCCCCGGGGTGGGGAGGGGGGCGGGCAGCAGGCTGTGCTTCGAGCCAGGCGTATGTGCGAGCATTTGCACCACGGCACCGGCTTGAACGGCAACAGATCACAAACGACGCAGACGTCCGTCGAAAGAGGACGGGTAGAAACCGCACGTGGAAAACAACGCCACTGTTGAAACACGAAGGCGAAACGTATGTTCTGATGCAGCACAGACACCAAGATAGAGTCGATGGAAAGGCCCCGGGGGCAGGACGGTACGGAGCGCCTCCCTCGGGGCACAGATGGGCACGTCCCCGGGCCACCCCTATACCAGCATCTCCAGAGGGATTCGTAAGAAATCCCTCCTTGGCACCTCGGGGCGCCTGGGGGGCTCAGCCGGTTAAGCATCCGACTCTTTGTGTCGGCTCAGGTCATGATCTCACGGTTTGTGGGTTCAAGTCCCGCTGGGCTCTGAGCTGACAGCTCACAGCCTGCTTGGGATTCTCTCTCCCTCCCTCTCTGCCCCTCCTCCGATCATCCCCCCACCTCAAAAATAAATAAACTTAAAAAAAAAAAAAAAAAAGAAACTGGGACCTGTTGGCCCCTGGGGAAGGGAGAGGAAAAGGAGGAAGCTGGCCCTGTGCATACTTCTGCGCCTTCCAGATTTTGAAGAATGAAAATGTCTTACTTCTACCAAATGCATATGTTCAATAAAACGAGAGAATCACAGCACGATTGCAGAAAAAGGCAGCACCTTCCTTCTGACAACTTCGACCCCAGGATTACAGAAAGACAAGTACGTCCACCCTGCTTCCTACCCGCCCCCCGACTGCACCCCGGGCCTTTGCACACGTGGCTGCCGCCTCCCTCCGGGGCTGACCCCTGCTCATCTCCAGGACCCGTCACAGTTGGCACTTCCTCCAGGAAGTCCTCGCTGACCCTTCGCTGCTTAAGCGGCTCTGTGCCCCCGGGCTCGGCGTTCGCCCCGGTGCACCCGGCCCATGCCAGGAGGTCTTGGTCCGCCCACACATCTGCCCGCCAGGGGCCTGAAGGATGGAAACCTGGAATGAGGCCCCTGTGAACCAGCTCCCTGCCCTTCACCCGCCCCAGCAGGTGCCCCAGGAAGTGTCTGCTGAGCAGAACCTCTTCTACTAGAGGAAAACGCCTCCCCGAGGGCAGGACAATGAATCAGGCGGCCGGGAAAGACACGCACTTAACATTCCCTGCAGCTTGGCCACGGGCCAGGCCAACACTCTCATCTGATTTGCTTAAGAGCCCGGGTGGGGCCCTTTTGCAGGAGTGAGGGGTGGGGGTGGGTGGGGAGTGCATTACCTCGCTCGGGCTCAGGGCTTCCGTTCTGCAGAGCCTGGGCACGCAGTCCCAAAGAAGGTCACCGTGGCTGCTTATTGACAGCCCTCTGACAAATTGTTTTCTGCCGCGGCAGCCGGGCTGGTCCATCTGGTCGCTCCCCGGAGGCCTCGGGTCACTCACAGTGCGGTTCTCGGTGTGGGGGGTGGCCTGACCCCAGCTTCTGCGTGCCGGGTTCCTGCCTGACCCCACTCTGCCGCCCCAGCTGGTGCAGCCTCCACCCCGGGGGCATCTGACCAGACTGGGCGCCGGCCACATCGGGCCCAGCGAGGGGGTGGCCCCTTCCCAGGGCTGGGGTCTACGGTGGAGGTGAAGAAAATGCCAGAGTCCTTCATCCGCCATCGCAAATGCACCCCCAGGGAGTCACAGCCCCAAGCAACGACCCGGCTTGAGGCGACAGAAGTGCCAGCCCCAGGCCGGTTAATAAGTGGTTTCTGGCTTCGGAAGATGATTTATTACGGAATCACCGTGTTATGCTACAAAGATTGCCTTGGCTTCCTTTAATGGATTTTCCCCAGTCGCCTCTCCGCCGAGGCCCAGGCTATGAGAAGCAGGAGGCGGAGCACTCACGTGACAGGCAGCAGGGCCCCCGAACCCGGGGGGAGCGTCCTGGAGATCAGGGGTGGCCTCCAGAGCATCCGGCCGGCTTAGCAGTGAGGTTCGGCTGGCTGTTGCCCGGCCTCACCTGGCTCATCCCTCCTCTTCCTTGTAGCCCCAGTGCCAAAGCTGACGGCGTTGTCCCAAAATAAAGGTGGAGAAAGGGCCCAAAGAGAGGTCCCACACCGACGTGAGGGACCAGCTGTATAGGACGCCACACGGATGGCAATTCCGTGGCTGGCGTTGGTGGCCAGAATGGCAGTAATTACAACAGTGTTTTCCAACATCGGGGGTTCCTTGAGCACCTGATGGGGACGCACGGTTGCCAGGAGGTCCTGGGGGATACGGACCGACCACATCTTCTTTGTTCCTGCTTCCCAGGACCTGGCCTCACATGGCAGTTAGCGCTGAATGCGCACTGAACAAATGGATGGGTGGGTCCGTTGGCAAATCAGCGCAAGGACAGGTGGATGGATGTGATGACCCATCACGCAGCCCCTTGGGTTCATCACGGTGGCGGCAGCTCAGGGTGTTGTCGCTGGCCTGATGGCCCCGCTTTTCTTACGAATCAATGGCTCCCCCGGGTTCCCTCAAAATAAATCCGTTGGTTTCTATCACTGCCATGTGGTCAGGTGTATAAGATGGGAACGTTACGGGAGGCCAGGGGAAGGGTAGATGGGACCTCCCTGCACTTCCCAATATTTAAAGTTCAACCGCATTAAAGTACAATCTACACGTTTGCCTGCTGCCCCGGGAGCCCCAGGTCTCTGGTCCCGATACCTCCTTGGCCCGAAGTGACAAGACATTCCAGGGGGGAACGGAACTGGACAGGTAACTCTGACCTTTCCCTCAACCCTTCACCAGTCCCTTTCCAGAGACAGAGATGGTGTCTCTGATTGGTGAGCCCGGGGACAGGATCTGGGCATGAGTGGTGCAAGGCCCCTTGATTCTTTTGTTGGGCGGCTTGCCCTCAGGATAGATGCATTTTCTTCACTCCTGAGTCCTACACCCAGGTCAGGGCATAAGTCCTATTCTCAGGGGGAAAGAGAGGGGTGCAGGATGGGATGAGGCAGGAACCCCTCGTAGCTGGCTGGGCCAGGGGCTGCTTTGCACACGTCTTTAATGACACGCACAAAGTTCAGTTCCATGCCTCAGGGCCTTTGCACGTGCTGTTCCCTTTGACTGCACCACCCTTCCCTACCTCACCTGTGTGTTGAACACCTCAGTGGGCCCAGGGGCTCTGCTCAGCCATCCCCTCCTGAATGACCTCCATTTTCCGAGGCCGGGCAGAAAGGGCCTTTCCCTTCTCACCACAACTCACAGCACTTTTAATGAGCTACATGGTGCATGGTTCATACGTGTGTCTCCCATTGCCCCATGAGCAACCTGAGGCAGGGACCAGAGTTGGCTCACCTCCCTCCCCTCACATTATACTTCCTGGCATTCGCTGGATGTCAACAAATGTTGGTTGAACGAATGGGCCTTATTAGAAAGTTCCGATGGGTTTTAATGCCTTAACGTGTAAAATATATAATTAAATACTTAAATCAAACATTTCATCTAGTAGACAAAACTCTTTTCACACACGGGGAGGGGCCCCAAGGGCAGGAAAATAATAACACAGGTCTCTGTGGCTGTCAATGTTAGGAGCTGATAGACCAGTTCAGGGGTTCCCAACCCTGGCTCTGTTGACATCTGGGCTGGATTACCTGTGTTCTAGGACACTGCCTTGTGCATCATGGGATGTTTAACAGCATCCCCGGCCTCTACCCTCTAGATGCCGGGAGCGGCTTCCGAGTTAGGACCATAGAAAATGTCTCCGGACGTTGCCAATTTTTTTTCCCTGGTTGGGAAAAATCACGCCCAGTTGAGAACCACCGGACCAGTCTTCCAATAGGTTTTGGTACGTAAATATTCCCTTTGCTGCCTTGACAAAGCTCTCGGAATGTGTCGGGCACAGTCACGTATTTCTCCCAAGCTCCGACGAGCGGCACAGACCCCCGAGCCAGAGGCAAAACCACTTGCCACCGAATGAGGGCTTTGATTGCTACCAATTCCTTAAAGCCGTGTCTGAAGGCTCGGCTTCAAATATTTATGGAGTCTATGAAACGGCCCCGGAGCGTGAGCGCTTCTATTAAATTTATAACTCCAGCGGTGATCGATGGACCTGGGCATTGCTGCGAATGCTTTGTGTGAGCTCTTTGTGGAAAGCCAGGATCCTCGCAGGACTCAGGAGCTCAGAGGGTGGCGGGGGGTCATCGGCACGGAGGACGGGACAGGACAGCCCGCCTTCTCCCCGCGGGCGTCGCGCAGGGCTCGCGGGCTCCACGGCGGCTGCAGCCGGACACGGACACGCTCCGGGACCAGGCGTCGGCCCCGAGGGCGGGGGAAGCTGGAGGCAAGAGCAGAATGAAATGGTCTCTGCCTCTCCAAGCTCGTAAAAGCCCCCTCATCCCACACTTATCCAGGGAAGAGACGGCAACAGGAAGGAACATTTGCGGAGGCTTTGTGTGCCCGGCACGAGTGCTCCCCCTGCACCGCTCATGTCCTCCTATACAGCTCAACGAGGCACACGATGCCTTCACGGTGCGGCGGGGGAGGAACAGGGGCTGGGGGGTGGCCCTCACCACGTCATCCAGCAGGTGTCTGCCAGGACAATCACTGATGGTGTCCCCATAGAGCGGGGACGTTTCTTGGTTGCAGGGACGAGAGATGGCGAGTGTCCCATCAAACGGCACTCGATGTCGACTGGCTGCCGACCTCATGCCGGGCACCGCCCACGGCTCTTGTCACCGAGCTGGTTCACCTGTTTCCACTGAGCCCTCCCACCAGGCTGTCATCAGGCCCGCATGACCGATGGGGAAACAGGTGCCATTTCAGAGACCCTAAATAGCTCACCTAAATCTATGCAGCTGCTGAACCCAAGCCCACCTGCCCTCAAAGCCCTACCCACTCTTTCTGGAGCTCCACCCTCCCCTATCATACGCATGTCAGCCCTCCATGCCCAGCATCCACAGTTATCGAGCACCTTCCCCGCAAATGACGGAAGGAAGGATCCCCATGCTGGGCAGTGTCAGTCCCACACCTCTGGCAGAGGGCCTCAGCAGTCAGACGGGCAGAAGGGAGCAAACTTCTCCCATGCCCTCGGGAGGCCCTGAGTTCCACTGATGGCTGAGAAAGGCACAGCCAGGAAGGAGAGGAAACGCCGGTCATCGGGCACTGGCCCATGTGCCCCGCCTGGACCGGCCCCTCCCCCAGGGTGCTCCCCACCCCCCCAGCGGCACAGGCAGGCCAAAAAAACGTGCAGGTCCGCTGCCGAATCAGTGCCGGAAGAGAGGCCCACGCACCCGCCAGTGGAGCACCCGGGAGGGGAGCACTGACCGTACACTGAAGGGCAGGAAGGCCTCCTGGAGGAGGCGGTGTCTGAGCCAGACTTTCGAGAAGGAGCAGGATTCCGCTGTTAAAAGCTGAAGGTCATTGCACGTAGAGTAACGTGCAACCAGCAACTTAAGGAATCTGCGCTTGTGGATGATAATAGTTTAAACCTCGTGAAACCGCAGATTCTGTCGCGAGAAGGTAGTACGATATCTCCTACGGTTCAGCCTATGGCAGCGAACATTTCTGGAGCTCCTATGATGTGCCGGATATCATGCTAAGCAATGTATACATATTGATTCATTCCGTCTTTAACCCAAAGAGGCAACTAGGATTATTACCTCATTGTACAGATGAAGAAACAGAGGCCCAGAGAGGTTAAGTGACTTGCCTATGGCCACACAGCTAACAGGAGGCAGAGTCAGGATTTGAGCCCAGGTCGCTCAACCCCTGGGCCTGCACCGTTCACCCCTACAGCCGGCTGTCACACACAGGACAGATGAAGGGTCTTCAGTGGGGCAGTGGCATGACCAGTCTGTGACACAGGGACAGACATTGCCTCCATCACCAAAGGTTTACCAGCCTTCTTGGGATATTTGCGTGTATTTCCAGGCCCTCCCTGCTTTCTTTCTCTTTTCTTTTCTCTAAGCTCGACCATAAAATGATAGAATTGTGACATGTGACAAATTTAGCTACTGCCCTTCAACAATGACCTCATTTTGCTGCTAGGTCACTGATCCCCTAGTGTAGTTATTTAACAAACTCATTCTCACCACAGGAAGCCCTTCCCCTCGAGCCAGCCCGGATCTATGGCTCGCAATCTGTTGTCCCACAAGGCAATGGGCTCTCTGCTTCTTGACGCCCTGCACAGCGGAGCAGGATGCAGCCTGCGTGGGGTGGGGAGGGGGGGACCAGGTGCCCCGGGACCTTCTAGAGAAAGAGCCCACCAGCCCCTCGCTCTGATTCTGTGTCCCACAGGCCCTTGAGAGGGCCCCCTGTGGGCCAGGTGCTCGCAAAGCAGGGGAACAAAAATGCCTGTACCGACATCCCATCATCTCGCTGCAGAGTCAGGCCAACATCCCGCGGATTTGTCACTGCGTCCAATGGAGGAAGCGTGTTTAATGGTGGCATTCGACGCGCGTGGCAATGACTCTGAAGAAAGCTAAAGAACAATCCGGAAACTTGGAGCACCTTCTGGTTCATTCATTCATTCATTCATTCAGTTTATGCTCTGCCCGTTTCCTCAAGTTTCTGGCCAGCACCACCTAGCGCACGCCCTCGCGGGGTTTTTCTCACCCTGAACTCCAGGCTGGGCCGTGCAGGGGGCAGGAGAGACTGTTCCCATCCCTCCCGTGAAGGCTTCTCACCGTCTGGCCACGCAGCGGCCGCAGCCCCAGCTCCAGAGCCAGGCTGCCTGGGTGGGACCCCAGCTCTGCTGCCTATGAACTGCGTGACCCAGGGTCGGCTATATACCTCCTCTGCGCCTCGTCTTTTCTCACAGGTAAAGGGGGCAAATTCTGATACCTATTTTGTAAGCCCCTCGTGAGGACTGGAAGAGCCAGTGCATTGCACATGGCGAGCAGGCATTCAGGAAGGGGG